TGGAGTTTAAAAATCTAATACGTGCACAACACTATCTGTCGACCTAATGTTTCTGTAATCTTTAGTCATCTGTAACATCATAATTAGATATTTCTAACTAGTTTATTATATGTATATAATTATATGTGTATGTTTATTATACATATCTATTTGTTTATATGTGTATTTATGATATTTGATTATTATATAATATTTATTTATCGTTTATTATAGAATATTAAAGTTAAGTAAGATAATATATATGTATTTCTAACTTTAGTAGCTCGCACTCTATCGCCATAACATTCGTCTCCCACACCCTTACTGGTTGACTAGTAGAGAATGCCTATGGCATTAAGCCCGCCATTTACTATATTTTGGTAAAGAAGAATAAAATAATAATAATACACAAATAATGTAATGATAGAAAATGTAATATCAATAGTGATAGAAGATAGCGTTGATTTATTTCTGCGTCATTTCTACAGTTTAATAAACCTAGAACCCGCGATGCAGAAATAAATCAGTGCCATTTATTATGGTAATTATATTTTTTTCCTTCATAGTATTCCTACTTTTGACTTATTGTAGTTAGTCTATCACGCTACATGATTAAGCGGAGATCTGATATGTAATAAAATCGTTTATTACTCTTAAAAACCCCCAGAGTGATATCAATATGCCAAATTAATATTTGATGGGCGTGCATTCCCAATTCAATGACGTCATGTTCCGTGACGCTGCTAAATATATTGCTTATTGAAGATAACTTCGACCCACATTTCGATTTTGGGAGGGGACATTTGGTGCATGTTTTTTTTGGTTGTGGCTTAATCCGTATCATCTGCTCCCGGGTAATTATTTAAAAGGGACCGCGTGTAAGCCCGGGCACGCGCGCTAGTCTAATTGTTACATCCGATAGCCAATAGGGTAGGGTGAGTATTCTTCTGAAACTACTTTTATTGACCACATCTGTGAATATATGCTATATCGTGAAATTGGAACTACTTATAATTATAAATCAAGGTTTCATTGAGTTACTTACTTTTTTCATACAAACCTTGTTTTCGGTTATAATCCTTAAAATTATGCAAAGGATTACTTACAAAATTGAACGTTGAGAACTGATTAAACGCATCAGATCATCGTATCTTCAGATAGATATCTAACTAACTAAAATAATGTGTTTTTGCATAAATATTCTAAAAAAAATGTTATGAAATCATAACATTTATAACAATGATCGGGTAAAACTATCGATAAAATAATCCATCACTAGCTTGTCACTATTCCGCGAGATACGACACGCGTGTGCCCCCTACGTTAGGCAAAGACAGACCATAAATAACGAAGGGTGCGTCACACTATGACCGTGACCATTCCTCATATATATTAAACCGCAGCGATTGACTGCACCCCTGGAGACGGAACGCATAGCTTTTGCAACAGCACGCAGCTCGATAGTGATGTGTGAAATATGGATGATAAGCAGCTAAGAGCTTCACTCGCTTGGGTTCGCCAGGTTTTTACAGGTACTTATAATCCTAATGTGAGCAGTCAGTAGATATTACATGATGAAAGAATTAAAAAAAACACACAAAAATAATAGAAAACCAATCAATTACAAAATTTACAAATGATTCAGTCATTTCTAAATTTTAAAAATATGAAATTATTTTGATCATGTAAACACACAAACTCAAACTCAAACCTGTCTGAAATGTTTTATATTTAATAAATCAACCCCACCTTTGTACGGATGAACTTTATTTTAACACGGTGAAATGTAGCCATTGTTACTCAGAGCTAATAAATTATTTAATGGTAAAATAGTTTTTGAGTTCATTCGTTACAAGGTGTACTTACATCCTTTAGAAATCTCACCAAAATCCGTCTATAATTTTAATCCAGCGTCATTGTCAATATTTTAAAGCATATTTTTGGTGAATTGTTTCATAAATACCGACGGGATGAACTCTTCATCTACGAAGTGATTTCGTGGACTGCAAAGTATGGTTTTGGCTCGTCTTTTATGTGTCTCTATACAAGGTTAATGGGGAAACCAATAAATTCAGTTGGCTCTTAATGTGTTGTTGTTAGACTATTGAATTTCTCTATTATTAAATGCATGTCGTACTGTAACTAATATGATCCAGTGTTACACAACTCTGTCTATTGTTACAATAAAGTTGCGGGTGTGCCGCCTCGCAACCCCAAACACAAAGGATCATAATTGTATACTCGTCACTTTACACAAAAGGACATAAAACCAGCAAAATTAAACTCTATTTCAATGTCTTAGGGGCATCAAGAAATGCACTAATAAACAATTAAAACTAGTGTGTTAAACCAGTAGAGTCATATCCCGTCGTAACTAGTATAAATCAAGACTCTTTTGTCGACAAATTTTTTGGGCGTCCCTATTTTTATTTTTAATAATAGTTTTTTTGTCCACAATATAAATGAATGGGCCGTAAATGTTTTGGGTGAAAACATTAATTTGATAAACATTAATGTGGAACATCCCGTTTTATTATTTAATGTTATTGATTACATTAAAGCTTACAAGTCTTTTTACTGGCAAAGCGGTTAGCCAACTGTTTAAAAATAATAAAAAATCTAATCCCTCTTAGCTATGACATAACAAAAGGCGGGTAAACTTTTTCCTACAGAGCCGGAAACACATGAGGTGTAGGTAGCTCAAATTTCTTGAAAAAAAAAACTATAGACAAATAAATTTGAGCAGTACCCCTAGCACGAACCAATATCGAATTCGAACAGTTTGCGAGTGCGAAATGTCAATGTCTAATTTTTGTATGGAAACTTGAACAGCAGCGCCACAACGGACGTAATAAGAACTAAAAATCAGTACACATTTGACGTATATCTACATCGAATTCAACTATTCGAATTCGATATTGGTTCGTGCTAAAGGTACTGTAACTTTGTTTGCGAGTCCGAAATGTCATTGTCAAAAATGTGTACTGATTTTTAGTTCTCGTTATGTACTTTGTGGCGCTGCTGTTTAAGTTTCCATACATGACAATGACTTTTGGCACTCGCAAACTATTCGAATACGATAATGGTTCGTGCTAAGGGCACAGTAAATATTTTTGTATGTAAAATTGCTCTTTTGCAGGATTCCTTGCTTATGTCGATGCTTAAGATGTTTGTCGAGGTGTATACCCTTGACGCTGTAAGACTATGGTAAATGGCACTTACCAACTGATGGACTGTTAGTTCGTTTGCTTGCATAAACATAAAAAAATGTATAATGGAGCCTAGCTCTGTTGTAATCTTGTACCTAATTTGTTGCAGATACCATATTACTTTAGAAACTCTTTATGAACAATAGTGCCAAGTGCAGCCTCGTAGATCTGTGGTGTGAATGAATTTGATTTAGAAACACTTTATTTAATATTTTAGGAGTTCGATGGCGCAGATGGTTAGTACGTTCGGCTGCGATCGTTGAAGTTAAGCAACTTTCGCAGTTGTCGGTCATTGGACGGGTGACCAAAAATCTTCTATCTCGAGTTCCTCCATACTTCGGGAGGCATGTTAAGCCGTTGGTCCCGGCTGCATCTGCAGTCATTAGCAACCGCCAATCCACACTGGGCCCGCGTGATGGGTCATGATGGCCCAATCTCCCTATTCCATCCATAGGGAAGGCCTGTGCCCCAGCAGTGGGGACATTAATAGGCTGATGACGACGACGATGACGATTTAATATTTAAGAGAGGTAGGGTATAGCGGATTTTCCGCTCGATTTGGAGCGCCCGTCTGGGGAAGTAAACTCCATCTTATACAAGATCACAGTAAAATAACACTACATATTGGTGGTGTTGTGTTTCTGTCGGCAAGGTTCTAGGGCTGCACGGGGTAAGGGATTGGGTCAGGGTAAAAACGTTGCGAGTGATATTTTTGGTATTGCAAGCGTCTTTAAACTACAGGCCGGCAGGGTGAGGATGGCTGGGTTTTTTTTTATGTTATAGGGGGCATACGAGCAGACGGTTCACTTGATGGTAAGTGATCACCGTCGCCCATGGACACTTGCAACACCAGGAGTATTAAAAATGCGATGCCGGCCTTTAAATTGAGTACGCTCAATGTGTAGTAGTGGCAGTGGCAGGTAGAACTGCTGTATCAGCTATCTTCGCGTCTGGACTTACATTCCTATCACCAACCTATCTATAAAAAAAAGGGGCCGCTAATGATCACATAGGCCATATGCTTATTTGCCACCCTTTTAATATTAAAAAAAATCCATGGGCTCTCAGCTAACCTCGCAGTCAGTAAGGTCAAGCCATAAATATAATTATGACGACCTCCGTGGCAGAGTGATTTATTTGTACATACGCCGGGTTTCATGGTGTCGCCGGCTCGAGAGGTCTCGGGTTCGAATCCCGGTGAGGGCAGATGTTTGTGAGATGAATACGAGCATTTGTACTCCAGTCATGGATGTCTCATATGTATTTCTATATAAATATACTTATATATGTATTCTATTCGTTACCCTAGTACCCCATAACAAAAACCTTACAGTGCTTACTTTGAGGCTAGGCTAATTGGTGTGAGTGTTGGAAATATTTATTATTATTATTATATCTATAATGAATTTATTAAATTCCACGTTTGTTTGCGAGGTCAAAAATAAAAGAAGTGTTTTTCTTGAGACATATTTATTTTATAAAAAATGCGCATCTCAATATAATAACTCCGTCGTTCGCTATTCAAAGCTGATAGAAAAGATTTACTCATAACATACATTACCTTCAAGCTTCGACTATAGTTAGGCATGCGATATAGAAAGCTTAGTTAATGATATAGGTACATTGGTTAGAAAAATCCCTTATAAAGTTTATTTTAAAGCTGGGTCTACACCTGTGCACATGCAGCATGATGCAACACAGACGCACGATTTTTTTTCATGTTGATAATATTAAATAGTTTTTTTTAAAGTTTTCAGAATGTTAATCAGAAGTCAATTTTAACATAATTTTATTATGTGTTATGTACTTATGAGATAATATGAAGTTTATATTATCTCATAAGTACATAACACACGTCACTGACTGCAGGCGATGAAATTTAAAAGAAACGTATTATGTATGTATATGACATTATTTCGATGATACACGCATAATGTCTTTACGTGCATGTGCTCAGGTCTAAACCCATCCTAAGGTATTGCAAAAACGTCATTGTTTTGGTCCGATATTGTTGATATTGTTTTAATGTACAGTCTTGTGTTATTATTATAGAAAGAAATTCGATATATATAGGTACATATATATTGTAATGAAATATGTTAAAAGTCTGGCGTGTTTCTATAATAATTTATCATTCTTCAATTGCAGTGTAGGCATGAGAATTATCATTGACATAAAAAGGATACAAAATAATACAGAGTTCTTGAGAAAAACTATCTAAAATAAGTAGTTTTAAAAACCTGCCAAGTACGAGTCGGCCTTAGACACGATGGGTTCCGTGCCATTTCATAAGTTTAATAGAATAATATTTGGAATTTGCAAAGCTTAATGTCTTCAAAATGTCCTGTGTTTATTAAAAATACAAAGGAGATTTTATATTAAGGTTCTGATATCGTTCTTCAGGTACGGAACCCTACAACTACACTACTCAAATTAGGTATGTCAAAAATGTTCGCCGCTAACCGATCATAAAATATTTCGTAAATTTGGTTGAGTACGTAGTACAGTGGTGGCAATAAGAGTAGGTAAATACAATCTCAGTAAGAATTTTTCCTTTAAAGCTAAGATGATAAAAAATATTTTTATCATCTTTTCGTTTCATTTGGTATCTACCAAAGTGATCTCACTAAACGTAAGTAGCGAATGATTAGTATAATGGTGAACGAATGTCATAATTCAAATCGCGGTCCCTTATGTTTCTATATTCATATAAGAGACTATCCTTTAGTCTGTGGCAATGGTGTTATTCTTAAGGCGCTATTATCCCACGATCTGTGTTGTAGCGGTCGATGTCGCGCCGCGCAGTGTTGCCAAACGTATGTGAACTCTAACGTTCGAGATTTAGCAGTATCTTTACATGATACGGTGATACGAATAAGGATGCATTTAGTGATGACATAATAAATATGTACTGATTGAAATGATCCTTTGTGGACTGGACTTTTATTTACTATCTTGTAGAATATTTGGTTTGTGTACATAACACAAACAGCCAACATTGTTTAAATCTCATATCAAAGTATACGAAATATCTATTTACCTCGTATCATGTATAGATACTGCTAAATCTCGAATGTTAGAGTACTCATACGTTTGGCATCCATGCGCGGCGTGACTTCGACTACACAGTTCAGCACCTTTAGGAGCCTTGCGCACTAGACGGCAATAACAAAAGAAACGATACGCACATAGCGAACTTGGCCGCAACTGCTGGCCAACTTTAGTTAATCTGGTCGTGGCGGCCACCGGTCGTGGTTGTGGCCGTCTAGTGCAAACGTTGCCTTACCTTGTATTGGAATTGAAACATATCAGTGACTATTGTTTAATTTGTAAGCTTTGCAATTTACATAACTATTCGTGACTTGTAATTTTTGTATATTAAGCAATAGAATATCCTTACGAAGCTCTATAGGGAATGAAAGGAGAAATTGCTGTTAATTTTACACATAGCCAATACGAATCGAATAGCCGTTGACGTCCTAGATTGCTCTTACATAAACGTGGAGTGAAAAAAATATTTTTTACGATATTAGTTTTATGATAATTTGCTTCGTTATCCGCATCATCAGATCTGTATTTATTAAGAATAAAAGAGAAATGAAGAGTTTTAATGGAATCATAAAAATCAGCGAAGATTAGGAAATAACATTTTAAATAGTTTTTTGTTTTCTATTTGATGGGACCGAACATAGTAATTTAATGGTATAAAATACATATAATATCAATTGAAAACATTCATCAGTATACAATAGGAAGCAACATTACAAAACATATAATTACAACATTATTTTAATCCTTAGTCAATTAAGTATAATTGTCATATCTATGTATATCTTGGTATAAAGTACTTTTGAAGTTCGATTAGAAAAGTCCTTATCCTTATGTATACCAATAAGGAACGAACACATTGTTCGATAAAAAATTAAATAACTATACCTATTTAAAAGATAATAACTACTAAACGTCCTAATAAGGTAAACAATACAATTAATTACTTATTCAATAATAAGTCTATAGTTACATGACTGTAAGGTAGGTATTAAATTATGAGAAATGCTTTAATACTTAAACTAAAAGTGTGATAAGTATTCTTATACTTAAGACTTATACATATAATTAAGGAAGCGAAAATAATTATATTTACAAAGTTCTTATTTACAAGCCTTAACAAGTACTGTATGGTTATAAAGATTTTCCGTACAGTTTTTAGTTTTAAGTGGGAATACGAAATTTCTAATTGAAATATGTTTTCACTTAGCCTCGTAAAAGTAACCCGTTCAAAAACACCTCTGATTTCGTATTATAATAATTTAACTGTGGTCTCTAGCTTCTTAGCATTGATATTATATTTGTAAATAACACGTAATAAATTTACAAAATTTAAATCATAGTATGAATTGTGACCCGTGCGTAGTGTTTTATCCTAAGTTGTAATGTTATATACAGAAGCCTATACTATACCCTCATTAAGAAGTACTAACTAGAAGGCACATCTTGTACCTCTGAAGCTGTCGTAAATAAAATTTAACTCAATAGAAAAGATGTTTCCAAAGAGATTGAAATTTTCAAACTTATGTCACTTTAAAAGAATTTTTATTATCTTACACATAACATAAAATTTGATCTTACTTTATTTTACTTATAAGTTCGTTATTTATCACTTTCCAATTTTGTTAGTCCAATATCGAGTTCAAATAGTTTGCGAGTGCGAAATGTCATTGTCAAATGTGTAGTGATTTTTAGTTCTCGTTACGTCAGTTATGGCGCTGTTTTTCAAGTTCCATACAAAATTTGACATTGACATTTCGCACTCGCTCACTATTCGAATTCGATGTTGGTTCGTGCTAGGGGTACAGGTTTGTGCTAAGATTTCGGTTACCTACTGTATCAATAACGACATTAAAAGTTATCTTTCCCCTTAAAATAACTCAGATCGGATATTAATCGTGTTTAATATCGATGTTGAAACGAAAAATTTACTGACAAATTTGAAATGTGATCAAAGATTAAATTCTTTTTTGGCAGTTTCGAATACTGATGGCGCACATCACAAATACATGAAGCTTCATATTCGTAAGATACATACAATTATGCTAGACAATAATCGTGATAGTTCATCCTTTGTAGTGGAATATTAAATAATGTATTCTCGTGCGAATTTCGTTCGTATTTGGTTTAAGTATAAAGCAATAAGTGAAGATTTGTTTGATACCTCAGTTTCACGAGAACAACATACTATAAAACTTCACACGGATTTTGATACGAAAATGTTTGTTATTTAGGACGTAATTTCATCATTTGACCGTTTTCGTTCAAGACTATTTAGACAGCGGAATTCTTGCCTATAATAGGCCCTCCACTCGTGGCATACACGCGTCTCCCATCAAATTCCACCGAAGAATTCCTTTTGATTGCATCTTCTGAAGTATCCTTGAGTGGTTCCTTTTCATCCCTGTACACATAAAAAGTTTTAATATCATTGAGTACTCATAGCTTTGGTGTTCCTTTATCTACACTATTTACATATAAGCTATATTAAACAATTATAGTAACACTTACATCTTTTTCATAAATGTAAGTGTTGCTATATTTAATGGGTCAGCGAATAGGTAAAACCATAGTATTATTTATTTATCCAAACCAATCAATTATTTATTAAAACGTTTATATAAGCTAAAATTACCCATTTGCTTGTTCTTACAAAAGAAAATAACGATTTGTTATATATTTACACGCGAAAAAATATACCTACTAGTAAGCTTCAAACGATTCGTATTCTAAGAAGCGTGCGTTTGTACAGGGCTCTACGTTCTTAAATAAGCCAGAAGAAATACAGAAAACGATATTGCCACAAAATCAAATAATAACATGAGATGTTCGTTATTTTCAAAACAGAAACTGTAAATGCCTAATTAAACCATCCTTCAAAATTCATTCAGAAATTAAATCAGTGCAGTATAAAGTTAGTGCAATAAAAATATTTTCATTTTTTTAGATTTTTAAGGATACTGATTCTTAGTTTTTATCTTATTTTTTCAAATATATTAATAAACATTTTCTTGACCTTAATTATTTGATAATACTACTTATTTGGCGTGAAATAGTATAAATTTATAACATTTATTTAAACAATAGTTCATTATTACTTATTTATTTACTATTTCTGACTTTGTTTTTAAATGAGTTGATGACAAAAATTTTTTTTTTTACCTATGTTCATGGAAAAGGATACAGAAAGCAGCAAACTGTACACAAAAGCAACTAATGCAATAAACACAAAGATAATAAAATATCAAATGATCTTACACTGGCGTGGTTGGAACATAGCTAATAATGTGACCGGTAGATGGCAGCATTGGGAAAGATAATGTTAATATGTTAGTGATGTGGCGCAAGGAATATTAAATAAATTGTACATTCTATAAATCACACCATAACAAAAGGTTAAAACAGAAACGGTTAGGTGGGAAAGAAAATGCAACACAAAATGATATAAAGGTGTAAACATTTCATAACGATGTACAAAGATACTGCCGACATAAGAGATGTTCCAAGCAATCAGAACTCACTCGATAAAGTAATCCTATTATATATCGAATCGGAACATTCTTGATTTTCGTCTCTTAACAAGATTCTCTCGTTCATATTTTTTTGTTAAATCAAATCACTTATTTTACGAAAGACTGTACAAAGCGAAGTCCCACACATCAACACCGATTCTATCTAACTACGACTTACAGCGAACTCCACTTCTAAGCTGGTGTAATAATATTTTTACAGCCAATGTTTACATTAAGTATGCTTTGCGAAGCTGTCTGGCATTTATTTACATGAAGGTCAACCCCAGCGAAGTCAATTATAGCTTTTTTTATACTTTCCTCCCCAGCAACGGGTTTGGGTAAATTATACTTTACGTTGACACATCTCCACTAGATTTTGGAAATTTGATTTGTTATTTAGCCCGTGTTTTGTCCTCACAGGGGCAGTACCAGAGCGTCCGCACAAACAAAGCATGCAGCCATTCAATTTGTTTGGTGCCTTACGTCGGGGTCGGCACGAGCTTCACGGGTGGAGGCAGAGGCGCGGGAGATGGCGGCGCGCGCGGCTTCGTGCTGCAATAAGGGAGCGGGAAGCGCCAACCGTACAGACTAGCGGGCAGAAACATCTCTCATCGACACTAACACTTAACACGGAGGACAACAAAACAGGAATCCAAGACAAGAAGGAAGAAAATGAATAAGAACTGTTTAATTATGATGTCGATGAAGTGCTAATATTATTATTGAATATCATATGGTCTTACAAAATAATAAAAGCGGGTGTTACCTTCCTAATTTTGCTTCATCATCTTGGTGCTTCTTCATTCGCTTGCCACAGATAGTCGCTATTACACCTTGGCGCTTGAAGCAGAATAGTATGAGATCGACTATGATCAAACAAATGAAGACACCTGCAAGCGCCACTCCAATGATGGCGCTACTTGAAAGGAGTTGAGGTGGAGCAAATCCGGAAGTCTTCACACCTGTCGATATTACAGCAATTGTAATATTCAATAAGGAAGTTATAAAAATAAGAGCAGCAGAAACCGTGCTTATGCATTTGCCATTTTTTTTAAATAAAACTTGTTTCAAATATCGGATCATTTTAATCATTCAAATTATTTCAATCAATATGGTTTCTACTGATCTCAAAATTGTTAGTTTTATGCATCATGTCACAGAAGCTGAAAATGTTAGATGACATGACAGTGATCGTAACAAATGCAAAGTAGCACTTGTGCATCGTAAAAGTGATATAAGAAGAGAAGTTTATTCTTATAAGCAACAGTAAGACATCCATTACAATCTTTCAGGTGAAAAGGGAGTGCTTTCAATTCAACGTGACGTGCACCCAATCACCAACTTACAGTTTTCTGTTTAAATATAGCATAATAGACTTGAAGTCAGATATAATAAGTTCCGAAAGAAAGCTCTCCGCTAGAATGAAATGGGGTTTGAATGAGAATGAAGCATTGGCAAATGATGAAAATGAAGAAATATGAATGATGCATAAAATGAATTATCCTAAAGTCAAGAATAATCACTAATATAAAAAGAAAAGTTGTCAAGATGCAAACATTCCAGATGACTTTGTAAATGTAGTAAACAAAAATAAATCTTCAAACCCCATCACAAAAGTTTCGGATCTATCCAAAGCAGTTTGGGGAACTAGAAATATAAACAATAATAGAAATAACACAACATATATCTACTATTATTTATCACATACATGTACCATCACCTTGATCTGATAACCCTACAGTTGTTTAACATACTTGTTACCTATCCAAATATTTCATTGCTTTCTGAAATGATTGTGCACGTAGATGGTAACCTTAATCGATCGAAATGTTAATAAGCATCATTTCAAAGAACAACAAGGTAGAATATTCACTATAAACCTATTGTAACTAATATTATTAAAACTGCCCGTACAAATATTTTTAAGATAAAAATAACAATAAATGTAATATAAATTACTTTAAACCTAAAACAATGGCAGGATCAACGACTAATTTGCCATGCTCAAGTAAATAATAAATCTAAGAAACAGTAAATTCTAATGTACGAAATAAATAATGAGGTCATCTACTATGACATATATTATGAAATTTGAGTTACAAATAAAATATTTAGTTCTGTTTCTATATCAAAGTTAGTTAACCATGCTAGTGGTAATGTGAATAAAGTATCTCTTGAGAGTGTACACAAAGGATCATGCAGCATAAAAAGTAGGTATATTTATTAGTACATTCCTAAGGATATGCAGGGGAGCATTAATGGTAAACAGTATATTAATATAAAATATATTTACCCAAATCTCAGACAGGGCCACAAACACTTTCAAACGAGCAACATTTAGAGGAATAACGGATTGACCTCTTGATTAGCATCTTGACAGCTTTCTTTTTGGGGCTCACAAGTACTTTTGATTACTTATGGGTAAGTACAGGATATTATTTATATGAACAATATTAAAAGGTGAGGTATGGGTATCATTCCAGGTAAAATGAAATATTCTTCATAAATTTTGCAAAATCTAAACGTGAATGTTTTCATAAAGAATATTTCATATGAGAATAAATATGATAATTACAGCATGTTTTTAAAACATTTATTTACTTTTCACATTGGTCAAATTTATGTTCATCTAGATCACATACAGAATTCTTCACTGACATTCGCCTGAATATAATAAAATTTCAACCCCGCATCTTTTTATAAAATCGTATTCAATATGCACTTTCTTACAATCCTTATCTGGACAACAGTCTCCTTGAGATGCGCTATTACTTAAAACTACTATCAAAAGTCCAAAATAGTCCTCAAAAAATCTTACACGATGTTGAAAACCCTTATAAAGTTTTGCTAAGAATTTCACCCATAAACGTCTTTACCTTCGGCATGAATTGTTATAATACTAATGACTTTGGCAGTGTTAATTTATTAGCAGAGAGACTACCTAAATTTCACTATTTTAATTTACAATTCAATAAATTTATCATTCTTTCATAAAACGTGATAATTATTTGACAGTTTCGAAGTATAAGATAATTTTCTAATCCTACTTACATAAATTCTCTTACAAAACAAAATGAAACCTTTCCAGGCTTAGTAAATAATTTAGAATAATTATTTACATATCAACAAATCATTTTATCACAACAAGTATTCCTTCTAAATAACAACAGTCGACTTGGACTTGTTACTTTAGTCAGTTTTTTTTATAAATTAAGTAACATTATTTTATTATATCAGAGAATATATTGTTAAGTATATAGTAGTTAGAATTTCGACGTTATTGTGAGCCCTTTTGAATATTCGTGAACATCCGTTTGGGTTACCTAGAAAATATATTAAAAGTAAATACACATAATACGTACTATATCAATATTACTGATAATAATAATAACAAATAAAAAGTAATCTAAAATATAACTCACCACATCTGATAATAAATTAACACAAACCAAAATGTCCAAGACTATCATAAAAAAGTAAATGAATTAAGCTAAACTAATGAAATCATAGAATTATAACTAATAATACCTCTAAAACTGTCTCAAGTTATATACCGCTAAAATATCAAATAAACCAATAATAAATAGAACTTGTACATAATACTTCCTACATATTTGCAAGTTATTTAATATTATTTGTACATACTAATTAGTACATGTTAGATTAGAATCATCAGTCTGCGTTTAACGTACAGGCAAGATGAAATCAAAATTCCAGGCAATTATAAAGAAAAACTTAACCGAACACAAAATGAAAGTAAACTAGCTTAAAAACCACTAAATATTAAATTATATTGTACTCAAGCGACAGCAAATTTAATGATATCATACATAACGAAACGTTCTGAATAATGAAGAAAATTAGAAAATTTCGTTAAAACAAAACCTTTAAAAAGACAATGAGCACTAACACAAATTAATCAATAAAACACTAAAATTTCACAAAACAAAACACAAGACGATCACGAATGAGGAACTGAACATGAAATATATTTTGTTTGATGAGGAAGGGTAAAGGGGGTACGGGGCAGTGTATACATCGTAGAAGCCAGCCCTGAGAGGGACTTCGTTACTCTCTTGATTGTACTCACCAAGGGCTGTTTGCACGTAAAGCTGGGCCGGTAAGGAATAGCCAAGAATGTTGTGGGCGCGGACTTGCATCCGATAGCGAGTGTCCGGTTGTAGGCCTCGCACTTCGTAAACGATCATCTCAGGGGTCTTAAGCTCCTCTGTTTGACACTGAGATTCGGCAGATACTCTCCATTCACCACTCACTTTCAACACCTGTTCAAATAAAATCCGAGATGTGCATTTTTGATATGAACATAAATAAATGTTAGTAAATCCATTAATACTTTCTTTTGCGCTAAAATACGATCACATCCAATGAATGACAAGGAATTCTTCTCAACCCCTATTTTTATTTTCTATTTAATTGGGTAAACAATCAGTTACCAAGTAAGTACATAAGAATTCAGTTAGATAAATAACTATGAAACAGGCACCGTTTACCACTTATATATAAAATACATGAAAACAGCGTTGAGTGTGGTTATATTCTAAATATCGCTTAAAAAAATGTAGATTAACAACTAAAAGTTAAGTTTTATGAAATTCAAATAGTAATAAGAAATCGAATGGTGTTTTTTAGTATCATGATCAGTTAAACATATTATTTTTATGCTCTAAGTTTGGCAATTAACATCTTTTAGAAGTACTTGGACAAATTGCCGCCATGTCTATTGAATGAAACATCTCGTTGTAAGATTTTACCAAACTGTGAATGTGTGTATTTCAATAAATATATTACAATTAAATATAAACATTAAGAAGAGAATTAGAACTTACTGGGCAGTAGATGACTTCATATTGATCAATAGGCTCTCCATTATGAGCAGGTGCTTTCCACCTAAGCTCGTATCTATCTGCATATTTTCCATGCAATAGCGATTCAGAACTAATATCCTCTCTCCATTTTGGCTGTTCCGGAACAGATCTAAAACGATGAATTTAACTCAATAGAAAATTTTGTTTGAGAACTTAATGTAAATTCTTAAACCGTGAAATAATTAAAGTCATGGAAATTAAAATATACGTAGAAAAACGAGAATCGACAATTTATAGTTTACAATATCACAGTAAAGAAGAAAAATAAATTGTTTGTGAAATAGGCCTTTAAATGTAGGACATCAAAATTTAATCGTGTCTTTATCGCAGCTACAATGCCAAATAATCGTTGACAATTATTGTTGTACTAAATTCGAGTTTGATTGCTGGTCGTTACCTCCTCGGCATAGAGATTGTAATCGGGGATCCCCAAGCTCCAACCCCGACCTGGTTCACGGCTGCGAACCTAAAGTCGTACGTAAACATCGGTTGCAGATTCTCGATGATGTACGGCGAATTGATGGACCAAGTCCTGTTCATTGCGAGATTCCAGTCGAAATTGCCATTTTCCTTATACTGACATGTGAAAGCTAAGGTTGGTGGTCCCATATCTTCAGCTGGGCCGTTGATATTAAATGACACTGAGGTCGCTGTTACCACGTCTTTTTGAACCTTTAACGAAAATATGATAATGGTTGAAAAACCGAAACTATTTATTCTACTCAGTTTACCAAAAGAAAGGATAAATTGAAATCATTTGAAAATTGCTTTATTATCTAACACAAAAAATATATATCTGGAATGAGTTTTTTTTTTACATAATATTGTCAACGCCCGATAGGTATTTAATTTAGTACATAGATACATTTTAGATGCGTACCTGTGCTACAATACCAGGTGGGAAAGCTTCCCGCAATTCAGTGCTGTGTTCTGCTTCGCCGAGTGTATTGGTGGCGATGCATTTGTAGTGTCCGTAGAGATTGCGATCAGTCGGGATTATTGTGACATAGCTGATAGGACCCGAACCAAATATCCTTACATGGGGAGATTCTAATAAGTCGAATTCCTGAAACCTAAATAAGAGAAAACCATTATTGCCTATACTAAGTTTTGTTATCAATATTTTTGTGGTCCCTATTATGATACTAATACTTACTTCCATTTAATAGTGGCATTTGGTATACTTTCTGCAATACAGCTGATATTAACCGGCTGTCCATTCCAACTCCATGTTGGGGCTTTAGGCATATGTGCAAAGGAGGGCCTGAACTGAACCGTTAAATGGCCATTCTTCCTAGCTTCTCCACCTAAATATTAAAATAAAATATGCTTGTCATTTCATCAAATTTTCATTAGACCCTAAACATATATTTCCTAAGTATATAAAGAATAAATACCATCGTTTTCCGCAAAGCATTCGTAGAGCCCATCATCTGTTCGATTCAAGTTTGTGATTGTGATGACTGCACTTGATTGCATTTGATCACCTGTCTGTCTCTCCGAAGTCTCAACCGTAATACTAAAAATCAAATATTATATTTATTAATCTTAGGGTAATAGGATTGACTAAGATATCAATAAAATTAAAAAAAATCTTACCGATTATTGTCATTAGATCCTACTAAGAAACGATCAGAATTGCTCAGTTTTCTGAAGCTTATACGAGGAGCTGGTCTTCCAGTAGCCTTGCATTCTAATCTTCCTTCTCCTCTTTCGGGAGCTGTAGTGTTGAACAGTTCAAATATTCTTGGTGGTACTAGAACTTCTACTTCAATTTCAGTTTCGTTTTGACCAGCTTTGTTAACTGCACTGCAAATATATTTGCCATAGTCACCAGCCTCAACTCGATCGAATGTTAGCAAACCTGTATTTTCGTTAACACTAAATCTTGAAGTAGTCGCTAAGTTCTAAAATAAAAATAAATGAATAATTTATTATCATTACCTAAATTATCCGATCAAGTTTAAATAATGGTTTCTTATATCCTTACCTCCCTTGTTGAAGCTTTAATCCATGCGTAAGTTGGTGGAGGTTTTCCTTTGGCTTTACATGTTATAGCTGCTGATTCACCTTCTTTAATTTCAACTCTTGTTTCGCGTTCTTCCATTTCTGGTGCGGTGTATACCTACATAAATACAAAACACATTATCAAGTTGCTAATCAAATAATTAGTAATATTTCATACTTTTATAAAAGCTTTTAAACTTACTTCAACTTTAATATTTCTCTCGGCTAATTCACCAGTTGGGATGACAACTGCTCGACAAGTGTAGGTTCCGTCATCGCTTTCTTGTACATTTTTGATCATTAGGCCATTGGCATGAATCACATATCTATCACCAGTCAAAATCTGGAAATGAAAGAGATGTTCTAAGTAATTCTTCTGTGCACAGGTGAAAGTTTATAAATTTGTCATTTCTTATTTACCGGTGTTCCTTCTTTGAACCAATCAACGGAAGGCGCTGGCTCAGCGGTTACTTCACACATAACTTTGAAGTCCTTTCCTTTAGTCGCATACTGATTTTCATTAGCATTCGTCCATGTGATAGCAACTAAAAAGTAAGAAAACCATGATGAAAGTCATATTTAAAAATAAAATATATTTTAATATAGTGATGATTTAGTAATATAAAGTAAGATACATCTAGCTTTTAAGATTTACATAGAATATATTAGTGACCCATAGTTTATTATTGTGTAGTTACCAAAAGTTTCCAACAGAACGCTGGCGCTGAGAGGTTGATTGGTATAAGCAGCCTCGCAAGTATAGTTGCCGGCCATCGCGGGCGTGATTGAGGAGATGTACAGCAATTGAGATTGCTTCGTCGGCATTAGCTCCGTGTAGATCTCTGGACGGGTACCCGAACTCCTATAACAATTTAATCATAAAGCATCCAACAAGTTAAAATCACTTAACCGTTATAAAGGTTTTGGAACCTTTTCAGGTTTCTTTTTACAATCAGATGTAGATTTTGTAGATGCTCTATAAAATGCATCATGCTTCTTATAAAGGTTCCTGGGTGAGAAGGTGAAAAAACCTGCACGGACAAGACATTATGTTTATGGATAGTGCAACCAATAATTAGATATCACTTCTAATGTGTTTTGTCTTAATCTACTATTTAACAGAGTTGCTATTTACATAATGACTTTAATTACAAGAAAATTATGCATCTAGTGATAAGAAAATGACCTTTTTATAAGACAATAATGCCAAATAAGCATTTTATGGTTTGGTTTTTTGGCAAGTGAACACCGTATCCCATGAAACTTCAAAAATCCAATCTAACTCATCAACAGAATTACAAAACCACTCTAAGATATTGCCTTTTGTAGTTTTATGAAAGGTAGAGATTAATTGATATAACGGGCGCTTTTGCGGCTTTAATCTAAACTCCTGCTAGGTTGGTCTACACTCATGGGTTGTGAAGTACCTTTGTAGTCATTGAGAGGTCTCATTGATAACATTCTGCTTTTTGTGCGAACAAAGGCTTAACGATAAAGCGTGAAGACTCTTCAGAAGGCTTTCAAGATACCCTTTCAAACTATGAAGCTCTTATATAGAATATGACAAAAATCTTTATCAGGGAGTTTAAGAGAAAGAAAGAATAACATTTTATTGGCTCTCACAGCATGAAATTTGTGAAGTAGAACGGTAATGAAATAAAACATAAACAATAAAAAAAACATGGGAACTAATTAATAACATTAGTCTTTAAAGTCAAATCAGGTTAGTCACTTACGCTTCATTGATAACCATTCCTTTGGGATCTTTCCACTGATGTTGTGTAACGAGGGAAGGGTCGGGGGCATCAGCTTGGCATGTGAGAACCACTGACTTCCCCACTGCGACCGTTTGGTGCTTTTGGTCCGGGAAGATCCTCAGGGTTTGTGATGAACATCCTGATAACAAAGAAAAAGCAATAGTTAATAAAGGCTTTTCATTATCAAAGGGTTAAATACAAGGTGGAGGTGGAGTTCTATGGCTTAGGTGGCCTGCGATCGTGAAAGTTAAGCAACTTTTGCAATGGTCGGTCCTTGGATGGGTGACCAAAAACTTATTTGTTTCTTAAGTTTTCACGCACACCACTCATTGAATGAAACACACTTAAACTAGTTCATACTGCGTCTTTTTATTACTTATTTGACGTTCCGTATCCTTTTCAGGCTGCGTCATCAGAAATCTTATTTATTATTATTATTATATTTTTCTAAGCAAAAAGTAATATAAAGACGCCTTTGGAACCAGTTTAAGCATGTTTCATTTAATGACCATAAACTAATTATCTCAAGCTCCTCCGTGCTTCGAAAAGCACGTTAAGCCGTTGGTCCCGGCTGCTCCTGCAGTCGTTAGCATGCACCAGTCCGGACTGGGCCCGCGTGGTGGATCATGGACCAATCTCCCTATTCCATCTATAGGGAAGGCCTGCACTAGCAGTGGGGTCATTAATAGGCTGGTAATGATGATGATGAAATACAAAGTGAACACAGAATCACAGCAAGTGCCAGTCTCAATACATAACTTTTACAATAATACCTCTTTCGGTTGGTCTAGTTTCTGGTATGAAATACCTTTTAAATGCAATAAATCTAATCGAGATAGGCGAATCTCTGACTTCTCCGAATGTTCTTTCTGTTATATATAAAAATACATTTGATCAGCATGTAATGAAACCTAAACCTAACCGTGCTGAAACCTCCGGGGTCAATATTCGCAGTATCTGTGGTCAAAATCTCAGGTACTCCACTACTCGGTGAATTACATTATTAGCAAGTGGTTCTGCAATCTTTTCAAAAGTAGATAAGCAAAAGTTGATGTTCAATAAACAAATTTCTAACGCGAAAGTTAGTAAAGCATTTATGAGATCAAGAGGAACAATTTTAAGGTAGCTAACCAAAAGTTGGACTATTTAATTAAGTTCCTACCGCTAATTCACTAGCCGGAGCAGACCCATTAATTAAAACCAGCCTTCACATTTTCTAACTTCATTCGTTAATAATTAGGACTGCTCATTTCGAGTGCTCCGATTTTAAATTTCTTTTTCTTTAATTAGCCATTTTTTCGCAGAGTATTTAGTAGAGGTGAACATAGAATCTTCTTTTCCCCAAAATATTTTGGAATTCGATAAAACGTTTAAAATGGAAATGTTATAATACGAGTATGATATTGACAAAACTATAAAACGTTTGCGACGTTGTGTTTGTCACAAATAATAACACAGGTAATTATGTGCGTCATAATTTATATTTTTATTTTAAGCATTTTACTGCTAAATGTTTAAATATAAAAAAAAAATACTAGATAAAAAAATCCACGCGGTTCAGGAAGCAGATGGGACTCTAACCCCCACCGTCCGCTATCCAGGCAGATGCCCAAAAATTTTCTTTCTTAAAAGTCATAATGTAACCTTAAATTATGAATGTTTATTGAAGCTATAATAGCCATCTTAGGATATACCTTCGAGAAATGCTACTCCCAAGTATCGTTATAAGTTCCCACGAGGTGACTTTAAAAAGCAATACTTTTTTTTATTATAGCCGTTATCGGCTTTTAGAAAAACAGGTTTTCTCTGAACTTAATTAACTTAGTGCAATCTATATATGTAAGGAGCACTCTTCTTTATAAGACTGGTACACGTCCACTGTTTCATCTGAAGTTCCGGCGTCTATTCATATGAGCACGTCTCGTTAAGACGGGAAATCAACCAACAAACCTAAAGATCGGGCTACACCAGATATAAGATGAGGCTCTTTTATATCTACCATGAAAGCTAAACGAAGCTAATGGCTGCAGTGAAAAATTAGATGCTATATTTTTTTTGCGATAACAATAGAACAATAGAATGACACAACACGTAGTCTAATAAAGCTTTCAATTAATTTGTAATTTCTGAGTACGACTGTAAATAAGGTAAGCGATTTCGCTCTGGATATGGACTCGAAATATATTTAGTGCAACATTTAATTTTCACTTATGCATTAATACTTACACCGAGCGAGTTACATCGGATTCGCAGGCTCGCAAGTTCACATGCTGATATCGTAGATCTTTCGTTCGTAGTATACGAGCATGTAGCCATTTTCCGCATATTTTCCTGCTTAAGATCACACTGCGAATCACCTCTACTAGTACAATAACTTGACTGGAGCGAAACAAACTTGCTTTTGCTCACAATATATCTTAGGCTTGTTTTGCTTGAGAATATATTTATTATTTCTTTCTCTGCTCAACTCCATGAATAAAGAGCGAGAAAAGTTTATGATGGAACAAAATGGTTAACTAAATTTTGATGTCATTAAGGTTGTTCTACTCGGCAGCCATCAACATCGTGACGATCATTTATACCGAATACACTTTACGTTCAACTTTATTTAAGTAAAAGCCATTTTTTTGGAAGATTTTCTTTATGCTTTTAGAATTTGCTGATTCATTCTGAGAATCATCTTTGAGTGAGGAGATTCTTGGTACTTCTTGTCCTTATAAATGCCTATATTTTTGTGAGAACCAATTTGTATTTTTTTTTTATATAAACATCAATCTTGAAATTGCCTTTGAATTCGGATTATCGTAATGGAACCAATATTCAGATCAGAAATAAGGATTATTCTGATAGTTATTATTAGGTACATTTGAATATTAAGAACACTATACTCTAAAACAGCATTAGGTATTAATACAAGAGAAGAAAAGTGTATGCCCGTCATAAAAAAAACTATCGTGATTTTTTACCAGGACCTATTTAACACAGGTGAGTAAATAACTACTGAAATGTTAAACAATAAAATAATTCGACTTTTATACTTAATTATTTTCATCTTACAAAAGTAAACTTATGGTGCAGGTTTTTGTTAAACTCCCGGGATCGATTTGCTTGGAGACCTTACCACGCAACTAAACAATTCAGGCAACTAAATCAATAAAATAGTAACGACGGCTCGGTCCATGAAAAGTTAAATTTAATAATTTCTTGGGGGAACTTTGTCTGCCTTCCACATAAACCAAAATCTTTGGTTGCTCTTTATTCACGAATTTTGCTGCTAGTACATTTTATGGTAGGTTTCGAACTCTCGTCTGAAGTAGTTACAAAACACAAAGTAAACTAAAGCTTCGACCACATTTGTAGCATTTCGGTGTAACGTATTGGCATCGCGTGGCATCGGGGTGTATCATGATCGCTAGTATGGACATAAAATGATACCCGTTAATGATACACGACGTATCTGATATGCCCCGATCAATACTGATCGCGTATCTTGGTACTGCTCGTATCTGATACCCGTATCACTAGCGGTAGTATAGACGTATTTTATACTGTATCACGAAACTGTATCGCGATACGATACGTGATACACCGCTAACCATGCTGTGTCGGTTTTTCGGCGACCAACAAAGGGAAAACATGTCGTTTTGAACAATTTTGAACGTAAATGCATTTAAATCACGTACGTTGACTTGGCTGAACCGTTTGCGAAAGAAGACATGACTGATCTTTACGAGAGAGGAAAGTGCACTGAAAAACAGACGTATCAGGACAAGATACGAGGAACGGAGGAAAAGTTGTAGCGTCCATATCTGTTCTGTTAAAACCGTTTCATTGACACGATACATCATTGGATTAGTATGGACGCGTTTTTTACAAGATACGGCTAATTAATACGACATAGTCAAAATGTGCGTCCATATATTTGATACAAATACTGGATACGATACGCCTGATTCTGATACGTCAAGATGCTACAAATGTGAACGAAGCTTAATATTACCTTTTGGTGGTGTCGTGTTTTAGTTAGCTAGTGTCGCCGCAATTACATATGGTCGTTAGCCCGCATTGCACATGAGACATTCTCGAATTCGAGCACCCGAAGCAATATTTACACTGGAATACGGGTTGGAAGACAGTGTCGGGTAAACAAAAGCAAATCTACCCGTATATGGGCGTACTCGACTTCGTTCATTTACATTTAGTCGTTTACCCGAATTCCATTGGCACTCGTATTCGGGCTAAAGACCAAGTGTAATCGCGTCATAAGATTCTACAACTCCATAGGGCCGATGATTGGGTTCTTCAAGATTGGACTTTACTTACATCTAATGTCAGAGAGGATTGGGTGATTTTTTGTGCACCGTTTTAAAAAACCGTTATATCGAAAAAAATATTACAATAATAATAATCATTTATTCATAACTCCCCAACATTTTACATTTAATGTATTAAGCTAATAAAGTCTACGGGTATTTATATAAAAATCTGAAGAAATGGACCCCTAACCCAGAAACTAGTAAAAACTGTAATTATCAGGGTTAGTGATTCGTCGGTCGACATATTGCAAAAATATATTTTAATTTTAGTGCAGGCGAATAGGTTTCACTACAGCTGTTGAGGTGAGTAATCAACTGAACGAAACAAAACAATTTATCAAATATTGATTAAGTGTGAGCGTACAAGTATGAGTGAAATTATGTTGGTAGTGTGTTTGTGTATGTGTCATTGTATAGATGTGTGTGTGTGTGTGTGTGGTTGTGTGTGTGTGTGTGTGTGTGTGTATGTATGTGTGAGAGTGTGTTTGTGTGCGTGTTTGTCTTATATTATCCATAACTGTTTTTTATTTTTATTTTAATAGATTTTCTGTGTCTGAATAGTTTTGCTGCTTCAAAAGATAAGCAGAGGTGTTCTTCTTCGCTTCATACCTTTACACATTATGTTGAAGCTTTTCTATTAGCGCTTGAAAAACGTTATGCTTATTCTTTATAATAGGTTTAGTTTAGGTCTTTAAGATAGGTTAGGTAAGTCTTTTTATATGGCGCAACAGACAAAACACTATTTTTTTTCTAATTTGATAAATACGTGATTTTCTCTACGAACACAAACAACTACCGAAAGCTAAAACAAGGAAAAAAGTTT